CGCTTCCCCCGTGCCCCCCACCAGCCACAAAGGCATTTGTGCTTGTGGCTTTGCCACAGCTGCCCATCCCTATCCCTGCACTGACACTGTCCCTGTCCCAGAGATGTCCATGGGTCCCCAGGGCCCCTAAATACCACCTGGGGGTAGGTACTGCCTGAGGAACACCCTCCTAGTGCCCCATAGCCCCCAGGGACCAAAACTGGGTGGGCAGGGACAAGTGACCACCAAGCTGGAGGCAGTGGGTGCCACCTCCATCACGGACCCTTAACAAGGACCCAGGGAGCAGCACCTCTGACATGTCCCCTGGTCCCATGGCATTGCATTTTAGGGAGAGGGGGAACAGTCAGGCTGTCCCCCTGCATCCTCAGCACCACAGGACACCCCTGTCTATTGCATGGAGAACAACATGGAGAACTGGAGAACAACTCCCTTCAGCAGCACTGCCTGGAATAAGCACTGCTCCTGCCTCTCCCGCCTGCCCAAGGTAGAGTCCATCTTCCCTGGGTCCCCCCCAGACTGGAACTGCCTCAGGTGCTGCCAGCACCTCAGGTTCTGGAGCGAAAGGGTGGCAATCCTGAAAAGGCTGCCATTGCTCCCTGCAGGAGACACGGATGGAGACCTATCTGTACCGTGTACCCATGATGCATCCCCCAAAACCCACCTGCCTCAATCCGTGTGGTACCTGCCCTTGTCCTGCCCCTGTGCTCCAGCTGTAGCTGTGCCTGTGCCATGCTGGCCACCATCTGGGTGGTGGGCTGGCTGCTACTCCTGGCCCTTACCCTCACCATCCCTCTACTTGCAGAGAGGGAGGCAATCGCCACCACCCTGCGCAGGCTGTCATGTCCAGCCTGTCATGTCGCCCAGTGCCGTCCCTGCAGCCAGTGTACACTATGTCAACAAAGGGAGCCTTCCAGGGCTACTACAGCCCCTGCTCTGGGCGCCACTACTGCCTGCAAGGGATGGACTACTATGTTGATAGGGATCCTGCCATCAGAAAGCATCTCAACGCACTAGCAGAGAGGCCTGTAAGGACGGGATGGGACAGGATGGGACGGGACGGGATGGGCATGACCCACCTTGTCCTCAGGGCCACCACTCACCCTTCTCCTCTGTCTCTTGCAGGATAATTCCATGCTGCAGTTACAGCCCTGGAGCAGTAGTCTGGACAATTGTCCATTGCCCCCAGCCATACTCCTCATACCGGAGCCCTAGGTACAGACAGGTCCACTTTGGGGGGGGGACACGAGACTCCAAGCCAGTTGCCCTGGGGGAAAAGCCTATTATTTTTCCCTGGGCATGACGAGGGAGGGCAGGACACCATTGCAGTGCTGGGCTGTGGAGCATGTTGTTGCTGCCTGTGGAGAAGCAGTTGACAAATGTACTCCCAGAACAGACATCTCTATGCTTGGTCTGTACAGCACCCGAAATGTTGCTGGCACCCTTGAGCCCAGCTGCATGCAGCTTAGCATCTCCTAGATTTTGGGGCCACACCAGTGTTTCTTGTGCTGCTTCTGTGTTTTCTGTTGTCATTGTTTGCACTTCTTACTCAAGAACCCATTCCCTCCTTGTCACGCTGTAATCATCCCTGTCCTTCACGCGCTGCAGGTCCAGCAGCACCTTTTAATCCCCACGTGTTTACCTTTAGGATGTCTTCATTGCCGATGCAGGTTTTTCAGGCCTAGGGAAGCAGTGAGGGGAGAGGGGAGACTGTTCAACCAGCTTAGTCATCACTCTGCTACAGCACCAACACTCTAGGGGCCAAAATTAAGGCATCAGGCTTTGCAGAAAATGCGCTGTTTTGTTGTCTTTAAATTTCTGAGCCCAGAAACTAAAACCAAACAACAATGAGAACAAACAGGGAGTTCTGGGTTCCCCATAGATGCTCCTATGCCTGAGCCTTGGTGAGATGTTTCTCAAAGTCTTCTCCACTCCAAGACAGGCAGATTTTCCTGGACTGGCAGGGAATTACTCTGGGAATGAAGGTATTAGGCAAATGACAGTGCAAGGGACAGTGGATGTTTGCAGGGTAGGAAAACTGCTGGATGCAGCTCACTGAGGTGGCTGTAAGAGGGAGCTCCAGCTTTTCTGCCCAGGTTTGGCTTTGGCCTCAGTACCCAAAGACACACACCAAAGTGAATGGATGTGGCTGTGTGTCTGCTGCTCACCCCTAAGTGATGCTTCCAGCCAGGAGTAGGTTTTCTGCTCTCCTTCCTCACCAGGGTTTTGTCCTCCCATGGCTGATAACTTTCTCTGCTCTCCTAGGTGGGACTCGAGCCACTTCTCAGCAACAGGAGGAGTTCAGAGATGCAGCTTCACCATCCATCCCAAATTTACCTCAGAGGCTTACTCTGCACTGTGTTACTGGTGAAGAACAATAAAACTGACATGGGCAAGCACTCCCTTCAGACCATTTCTTACAGGCTGGGGAAGTTTCCAGGGAACAGGGAGAAACTTTAGGGACTGTGGGCTTGGTAGGCATTCTAACAGCCCTCAGGGGCTGGTACTCCACCACCCACAAGCTGGAGACCAAGAAAGCATGCAAGGAAAAGCTCTCAGAGCATAGTAACACAGACAGAAATAGCAGCAGTCGTAGATATCCATGTTTGTCAGCTTCACACTGGGCTGCTTAGGACATGCTTGCTTCTGCCAAGTTACCCAGAAAAAGCTGCCATCCATCTGGGATGCTGAGCATGGACATGGGCTAAATAAGGAGGGAGGTTTGAAAGCAGCAGATAATTAATGAAGGCATGAAATGCCCTTCTCTAAGGTCTGGGAGCACAACACCAGCAGGGAACACCACCGTCGACCTTCTCTGCACACTGCAGAGCATAAACCCATGGGGCTGCAGTCCCTGGGGGAGGGATGCTCCAGCACAGATCCACCCGTGGCTCCACAAACCTGTAGGATGCCTCCACTGCCATGCTGTGCCCACACCAAGCAGCACCCGAACCCCTCTTGGGGCAAGGAAAACCCCATTGAAAACCCCATTCTGACACAAAAGCATCCCGGCACAGCTCCACCAATGCCAAACCCCAAGTGCCCTCAGCCTAACCCCAGGGGTACCCCTACTTTCATGTGCCCACGGGCATCCCCAGCGGCTCCAACCC